CATGGCACTTACCTTCCATACTGTTCTAGTCTGTCACTGCTTATTATTTCAATGTAAGCCTATCAATAATGTAAGGACTTAGCTTACATTTAATTGCAGATATGGAGTATACGGGCTACCTTTGGCTATATAAGGTAACTATACAATGCAAAGTAGTTTTTTGAATAGTTGTGCATATATGGGATGTATTCACCCTATTTCGTTGAAGGTGATGAAACTCTGTTTATATATACGAAAAAAAGTTGTATATATAACCTGTCAAATGCAGACTCTCAACTCAATTTTATTGCAATCTTCTTTTTTTCCTCGGCTACTTGGAAAGGCAATATTTTGACTAAATTAACTGTTAAATTAAGTAAAAGAGATTAATTATTGTAAAAATTCATTTTAAGTATTTACTTTAAATGCAATTACTAATATTAATCGTTTTTGCTCCTTTACTATCCGGTTTCTTAATTTACTTACATAAAACAGCATACGATATAACTTAATTATCAGTATTTGTGTTTAAAATTGCACTGCGTAAACAAAAGTCAGCGCTACATTTCAACCAATATTATGATACTACTAGCGAAAACATTGTATCATCAGTTCTATTATCCCATGATGGCTTAGTGCAAAGCGCCTGACTTTCGTGAGCTAGTTTCTCTAGTATGAGACCGATCCTTGTACTAATATTTAAAAAAAGTGTATCTATATTATTATACATTGTAAGCTTGATTTAAATCAATTTTGCCTCATAATTTAGGTTACACAAAATTACTTACAATGCTACGTGGTAGGCGATTGAGAGCCAAGTTTTTGGTCTTTCTAGAAAGTTGTAGGTTCTTGCTTGCATTTTGCGATAGCGCGTTTCATTACGACTGACTCTAAAATTCAGTGCCTTCCCATGAAGTGAAGTCCTTGGTTGCATCAAGCGTTCCATCAAATGAGCTGACATTATGCTGCTTACACCTACACCAAAACCAACTCCGACAGAATTTGAACCGCCTTCCTTCTCAGCACTATCCATATTCATGGAAAGACATGCGTTTACTGTTGATGCAATCGTAGTAACACCTGTTTCCTTTGGGTTTATGGTTTCTCGATGAAGATTGAAAGCAGGTTGGGTAAACGAAGATGAATTCCAAGCCCACCAAGGCTCACGAGAGATGGTCCTATTTATGGAAGCATTGGCAGCAGAATTCTTCACTTTCTCATCTGGCAGGCTTGGCCCTGTAATTGATGGTGGCGGCCTATCAAGCTCATCCATTGATGGTAGGATTTCTTCTCCCTGCCTATTCCAGAAGAGTCTTGAGTGCGGCACTTCCGGAGTCAAACAATTGGCCACTTCCCAACACGTCCCTACTTCGATCGAATCATGAACGGCATCCGATGTAGCTCCAGCAGAATTCGTACTGTTTGTACTTGCAAGTGAATCAGCAATGATAGGGCACTTGGTAGATAAACCCAGCTCAACCGTCAATCTCTCATCGTCTTCCTCCTCAATCTGTAGATACGGGCCGTCCTCACTGTTTCGTCTGCCCCTGAGATCCGTACAACTGTCTACAAATACCTCTGGAGACGAGATATCCATTTAATTGGTTCAAGCTACACGCAGCACAGTTTTAGCTGTCAGCTTCCAGAGCTCCGTCCATCTTACGCTCAGCAATGTTTCCTACTGCTGATTTAATGGCTAGCCATCATCAAAAATTCCAAAAAGATATGATGACTCCATTGATGAAAGATCACTCTAGGCAAATCTGCCCTTTAAGATGTATTTGTTTATATTGAGAACAGCTGCTATGTAACATTGGATGAGTCACATATTTAGTGTAATGAAAAAATCGAAATTATTTTCTACTTGGATTTGACAGAATTTCGACAGAATTTCCTCCAAAAACGGGTGTGATTTTGACCAGGTTTAATAGGTTGTATAAAGACGATTCGTAAAAGTCTCACAGACAACAGGCCTGAGAGAAGATAAACGATGGCTCATAAGCTAAAATCCGTCACATCTTAGATAAAATAAGATTCCAAGAAAGCTGAACACAAAGTGAGGTCTTTTACAGCCAGTCTTTGATTCACA